CACCCCACCGCACCCCCCCCGTACGCCCCGCCGCCGCCGCCAACACAACCCTCACAAGCACACCACATCCACCACCAACAACAGCAGCCGTACGACACTCCGTACGCCACGGCGCCTTACAATCCGGAGAAACCCCCCAAGGACAGCCATGGCCACCACGGTGGCGGAAGCAGCAGCGCGTATCCCCCGCCGCCGCCGGGGTACGGGAGCCCGTTCGCGTCGCTGGTGCCGTCGGCGTTCCCGCCCGGCACGGATCCCAATGTCGTGGCGTGCTTCCAGCTGGCCAGCCGTACGACACTCCGTACGCCACGGCGCCTTACAATCCGGAGAAACCCCCCAAGGACAGCCATGGCCACCACGGTGGCGGAAGCAGCAGCGCGTATCCCCCGCCGCCGCCGGGGTACGGGAGCCCGTTCGCGTCGCTGGTGCCGTCGGCGTTCCCGCCCGGCACGGATCCCAATGTCGTGGCGTGCTTCCAGCTGGCGGATCAGGACGGGAGCGGATCGATCGACGACAAGGAGCTCCAGAGCGCGCTCTCGTCGTATAATCAGAGCTTCAGCCTCAGAACCGTTCATCTCCTCATGTATCTCTTCACCAATTCCAACGCCCGGAAGATCGGTACCTCTCTCTCTCTTTCTGATAATATGTGAGTTGAAATTAGGGTTTGCATGTTCGAATTATGGCATCCTCGCTGTGAAATTGGGAAGTCTTTTAAATGAATTTTGATTATGGAGAAGATCTAGATTCTAGGGTTCCGAGTTGAGCCGGGTCTGAGATTGTTGATCGGAGGTTGATTCGGGCGGAGATATGTTGAAATGACTGATATGCCCTTTCTGTTTAGTGTATTTTACATCTCGACCTTCCTTTTTGGATGTTGTTTTTGCATTTTGCGCGTCCCTGTTGCGTAGTGTCAGTAATGAAGCTTGGTAAATGGTAAATATATCCACAAATGGAATTAAGTGGACGTTTGATTTATGGATTTAGAATATTTTTGATTTATCGATTTACATGTGTTTTTTGTGAGAGAAATATTATAACAAACCGCGAACTATAATTCGAACTAAACGCATACGAAATGAAAACCGCGAAAAATAGCTAGAACTTGCAAGTCAAGAAAGTGGGATTATATATTTTTTTGCGCGTCCCTGTTGCGTAGTGTCATTAATGAAGCTTGGTAAATGGTAAATATATCCACAAATGGAATTAAGTGGACGTTTGATTTATGGATTTAGAATCATTTTTTATTTATCGATTTACATGTGTTTTTTGTGAGAGAAAATATTATAACAAACCGCGAACTATAATTCGAACTAAACGCATACGAAATGAAAACCGCGAAAAATAGCTAGAACTTGCAAGTCAAGAAAGTGGGATTATATATTTTGGAGTGTGGGGCCCACAGACTAAGAGGTGTGTGATGGACACGTGTGCTTGTTGCGTCTCAATGGGCAAACACCGATGAAGAACCTTTAGGCATCGTTCAATTCACTTATTTGAGTTTTTAATTCAAGTTGAGGTGTGACTTTACGTGAGTTTTTAATTTAACCAAAAAGTTAGATGTGATTTTTTGTGGGAGCTTTTAACGGTAGCAAAATTAAAATTGAAAACTCGAATCAGTGAAATAAACGAGACTTTAGTTATTTGCATATTGCACCCAAAACTTTTGATTTTGGCATTTAGAACCCTGAATTTTACAATCTTTGGCAATGCAGTTCAACCAATAACTAAAAAGTTAGATGTGATTTTTTGTGGGAGCTTTTAACGGTAGCAAAATTAAAATTGAAAACTCGAATCGGTGAAATAAACGAGACTTTAGTTATTTGCATATTGCACCCAAAACTTTTGATTTTGGCATTTAGAACCCTGAATTTTACAATCTTTGGCAATGCAGTTCAACCAATAACAGACTTCAAGTAGCAGATGACAATTAGGGCCAAAATGGGCACGTACAACCTGCTATATTTGGGGTGAATTTTTTTAGAATTCTTGCCCAGCTTCTGTCCATTAATTGATGCCTGTTAGCTATCAGCCAACGATTACAGCAGATTTTCAAAGTTTGGGTTCTGGTTGTCAAAATTGAATGTTCGGTGTTGAAGTTGCCAAAATAGATAAGTTCAAGGGGTGTCAATGCAATTACCCTGTCTCAAAACGTTTGAAGGGGGGAAAAGGAAAAAAATTGCTGTTCAATGTCTACAGCAAAGAAAAATTAAATTTCTAATCCCCTGTTTATTTCATAGGTTCGAACTAGTGTTTAAACCTTTTTGCTATAGTAATTCTCACAAAATTTAAATTTCTGCATCTGCTTAAATATTTCTGTTTAAATTTATGAACCAAACATGCCATAAGTAAATGTTATTGAATTTTGATTACTTTTTTTTTGTTTTGTTTTTTTCATTTTTTTAAGGTCCGAAGGAGTTCGCTTCGCTGTTCTACAGTCTTCAGAGTTGGAGGGTAAGCCTAAATATAAGATTTTTATGTGAAACTAATTATCCTTTTTTCCCCCTTTTGGGAAAAGAATGTCATGTTGGGTTGTAATGTATATAACGCGGTGTGTGTTGCCACAGGGAATTTTTGAGAAATTTGATAGAGACAGGAGTGGAAGAATTGACACAAATGAGTTGAGGGAGGCATTGTTGAGTCTGGGATTCGCGGTGTCCCCTGTCGTCTTGGATTTGCTGGTCTCCAAGTTTGACAAGACCGGAGGCAAAACCAAGGCCATTGAATATGATAACTTCATCGAGTAAATTTCCATTCTTCTTTTTTTTGCCCTATTCATAAATTCAATTAGTTTCCTCAATATCTTTCTCACCAGTTTATATCTATCAATCTCTAAATGGCTTCTTTTTCTTACTTGTGAATCCAGGTGCTGTCTCACTGTCAAGGTAAAAACTCAATTTAAGAACTTGTTCGGCGATTTACAATGCGTACTTTAGTTGAGAATGTGAGTTTATTGTTGTTTATTTTGCCTATTGTTTTCAGGGATTGACTGAGAAATTTAAGGAGAAGGACACCATGTACGCTGGTTCTGCGACTTTCTCTTACGAGGCATTCATGCTCACCGTGCTCCCTTTCCTTATTGCATAGTCTGTATGTAAAGCTTTATGGATTCATGGGTTTGGATTTACATCATGCAGTATCCTGTGTCTATCGCGTGCGTAAATGCCCTAATACCTCTTATCTGTGCTTCGTAGCTTTGGTAGAGTAATAAAGCTAGGTATTCTGCCTTTACCATCTGATAGTAGTATTTTCCTACTTAAGTATTCAGGTTCTGTACGACCTTCTGATAGTTTTTAATCCAAAATTATCTTCTTGTGAATTATGTTTACAAAGTATATTTGAACATTGATAACTGATGGAATACCAAAAAGTTCCTGCATTTAGAGCTTTGGCTTCGAGGGTGCCTTCTTTTTGCAACTCAAAGATCAATATGGTTCTCTAGTTTATATTAGGAAACTGCCAAGATTGTCTATGGTGATACGCATTTCACTCTTTATAGAACTCATTTGATAATCTCTAGCTCTCTCTAAATATTTAAGATGGAACTTTCATTTACACTTCTGAAATGTTTTCTGAAGTGGATATGCATTTAGCATTGCCTCAGAAAGAAGCATCTTTTTTCGTGCAGTGAATATCTTAAATCGTGCTTGGAGGTAGTACTAATATTTGTGGAAATGAACAATTATGTCGGCTGATTGTTACATTTGGCCTATTTTGCATGTGTTTTAAGTTTCTACTGAAAGAGAACACTAATTAATCCCATTATGGGTTGAATAATATCATTTTTGCTGCTGAAAACGTCTGGTTTCCATCGTCCCTTCGGGGGACATACAATATCAATAAAATTTGGAACGATACAGAGAAGATTAGCATGGCCCCTGCGTAAGGATGGCACGCACACATCGAGAAAACGTCTGATTTCCTTCATGTTTGTTGGCCTAATATTACGTAGAACTTTAGGGCCACAATCGAAGGACAGTATGGAGGGCAAAACCAAACTTTAAACATCATAGAAAGCAGGCACGTAAAATTTTCTGGTATACTTCAACTATTCTTTTTTTGCTTGAAAATTTCGGCTGGGTCAATACATTAGTAGTGTGTGTTACATTTATTTAGCTTGGAATGTTTTAGTTTTGAAAAATGCTAAAAAACACCGCTAGAGATAAGAGCCACCAACTAATAATAAAAGGTGAAGTAGACTATCTGTAACACATTACATTTTTATTAGTGGAGCACCACCTGTGCTCTGTATTGATCATGTTTGAATATCGTAGTCTGAATCATCAATTTCAAGAAATATTTCATACCCTCAATTATGATTGTAGGACACGCCATGAACTATGTAAAGTCTAAGGCAATTACTCCTTTTGTAATCTCCTTATTTCTTTGATACTGAAAATTTCACATCGTGTTTCCATGGATATAAGGTAAAACCCTACCAGATAAATTTTTTTACATGTTATTTATCACTTCTTTTGGCCATGTTTAGTAACTTGTATTGTATTATATTGTATTGTATAAGGTGTATTGCATTGTGTTGTTTTGTCATAATACAATACGGTGTTTGTTGTAGAAAGGGTCTAGATGTACAATTTTTAAAATTTTAGGGCCAAAATATAAATTTTCAAAAGTTTAGGGTAAAAATATAAAATTTTAAAGTTTTAGGGTCAAAATGTAATTTTATAAAAATTTAAAGGTCAAAATGTAATTTTTAAAAAATATAAATTCGTATTATGCCCCTCAATTTTTAAACAATTTAGGCTTGACATGAGTCTATGTCGGTCTAATTTCGATCCTTACTCGTGCCCAATCCCTGTATGAATCATAAATCTACTATAAAATAATACAATACGTAAAAAATCAGTCGTATTTAATAATACAACATAGACCTTATTAATTTACCATTCGTATCAGCTTATACAATATGAGAATCACATCATACATTAAATTATTATATAATTATACAATACAATGCTCTAATACGGTCAAACAAACATACCATTTATTTTTTATTTTGTCTTAATAACAAATATATTTTGGCAGAACTTTTATTAAATATTTTATGTTCTTTGTTTGAAAAGATTTATGGGACATTTGGTTCATAGATTCAAAATCATGATTCATGATTCTAATTTTTGAAATTCAAATTTTTTGTGAGAGAAAAACATTGTAGAGAATTAAGAACCATAATTCAGAATCAGTGATGAACTCTTAAAACAAACATCCCATTATTATTTTATTGGTATTTGTTATTATAAATATATTTGATTATTTACGGGGATAATTTTGTGAAATTTTGGCATTTTAAACTAACACATGTGTAACATAGCCTATGGAAACTATGAAAAGAAAAGCAAAAAAAAAAAAAACTATTTTCAACCTTGAAACTAGATTCACATACCGATATGCGTTAAACCTTCGAGCAACTTAGAGGTCATTCTTTAACTTGTCTTTAAATCCCATTTAGATCGATATGACGTAATCGTAAATGTTAAAAATATATCTCATCATATTAAAAAGCTTTTAACTTCCAATTATTACTATATAATTTGACATTTATTAAGGTCCCGTTCATTTTACTAATTTAAATTTTATTATAGTAAAAAGCTATTAGAAACAATGATATTTAACTTTTTTACTATAGTAAAAAGCTCTCACATAAAATCACATCTCAACTCAAATTAAAAATTCGAATCAGCGAATTAAATGACTTTTAATTTACTCACACACACTAAGGCCTCGTTCATTTCGCTGATTCGAGTTTAGAATTTGAGTTTTATTACAGTAAAAAGCTCTCATAAACAGTCACATCTAACTTTTTTGCTACAGTAAAAAGCTCTCACATAAAATCACATCTCAACTCAAATTAAAAACTCGAATCAACGAACTAAATGGACCTTAAGTACTCTATGGCCTGAAGTAAAACACGTTTTGCAAAATAGCAATTAAGAGATGTTCTTTAAATAAACACGAAACCAATATAGGGCCCGTTCACTTCGCTGATTCGAGTTTGTAATTCGAGTTGAGATGTGATTTTATGTGAGAGCCTTTTACTGTAACAAAAAATTTAGATGTGACTGTCTCTGATAACTTTTTACTGTAGCAAAACTCAAATTCTAAACTCGAATCGGTGAAGTGAATCCTCCTTAAAGGTAGACAGCCACTGTAGCTAGAAATCCATCCGCTGCAACAGATTTCCTGCCCAAGAGCAGGCTAACTACACACAGCAGAAATTCATCCGCTACAGTAGGTTAGCATGCGCCATTTGTTGGTTCCCGAATCGAATTCGGGTGCGGAAGCGTGGGAAAAACAACGGATCGTGTATAATAAAAATTTTCATAAAACTTTTGAGATACTCTATAGATTATATTAATTTATGCACGAATAAATTAATCACATTAATTTACATCATTCAAGGATCAACCGAAAAATACCTGGAAGCCGACTCGGATGATAACTTGAATTTCTTTGACCACGAACAGTCCTTGCTCCAAGCTTTGTGTTTAGAATACCAAAGTCTTCCACGTCAATTCCTTGATTCCACGTATCTGAAACACTCGAATTTCTACAAACACCAACGCATGCACGATGTGAAATTTTTGGAGAAAAATTTTGCTCTCTATTTTTCACTCTATGAGAATTTCGGCCACACTCAATTAGGGCTGAATAATGTGTCAAAAATTGTCTACAATTTTCTATCTTTCTCATATTTAAAGAGTAGAAGTCAAACTTCAAAATAGAATCAAATCCTTATCTCCAAAATAGAATCAAAACCTTATCTCCAATTTTGAATTTGGAACAAAAAATCCCTTCCCCTTATCCTTTAAGTGGCCGGCCACCCTCCTAGGGTTTATCCCTATGTGTGGCGCCAATCTCAGATAGGGAAGGAAGAGATTTTATCCTTTATCCAGTAGTCCAATTTTAATTCAGATTCAAATTCGAATTTAAGTCAAACTTAAATTAATTTGAATTCTAAATTCAACAACTTATCAAATAAGTTTAAATGGATAAATCTAGATGTGTTCAAATTCAAATTTAAAAAATCACATTATTTAAATAATAATTAATTCTCAATTAATTATTTTCGAGTATTTAATTTATAGAATTCCTTAATTCTAAAATTTCCCATTTTACCCTCTGTGTCTGGTAGAATTACTAGGACGACGCGAGGACTAATGGACCTATAATCCCGAGCTCCAATAAAATTAATAATTAATTAAACA